TTCATATTCAAACCAACATATACCCTCGCGTCCAAGACTACCGCAAAAATACACGAATCTCTACTCGGATAGAGTTTTTAGAACACGTTCATGTGCCACCAGTGCCCTTTTTCTTCGTCCGCCCACGTACGCATCAGGGAAATGTGACCCCCACGCTTGGCAGCGTTACCAAGATCTGTGTATATATATATATATATATATATGTATAAATATATTCTCATACGCACCTCTCCGAGGGAGTAGAGCTCAGAGCCGATTAATTGAAGGCGGCGTCCGCGATTTGTCTGGCCGTTTCGCTCGGGACATCCTCGAAATTCTGAAAATCGGTGGCACCCCTCACGCAGATCGTGACGTCATGGTCCAAAAACACATGAGAATTTCAACATTCGAACATAACATCTTCAAAAACACAATGTAATTTCAATGATTGTGACCCCGATTCTCAGAGAATGGCGATTTCGCCTGAGACATCCTCCCAAAATCGAGCCCCGACGAACCTTCTGGTACCCCAGACTCCGCCTCGGAGCCTCTTGGGAGCCTCCTGGAACCTCCTGGGGCCTCCTGGGGCTTTCTGTACCTTCTGGTACCCCAGACCCCGCCTCGGAGCCTCCTGGGGGTCTCCTGGAACCTCCTGGGGCCTCCTGCGGCCTCCTGGAGCCTCTTGGGGCCTCCTGGAGCCTCCTGAGGTCTTCTGGGGCCTCCTGAAGCCGCCTGGGGCCTCCTGGGGCTTCCTGGGGCCTCAGAGCTACATGCACACACAGAGACACAAATCACACCCAACACATCACACGCTAGACAAACATAACACACACAACACCTACAACGCACAGAAAACACGCACAACACAGAGCCTACATCACACACACACAACACTCACAATCCCGGGGCCTCCTGGAGCCTCTTCGGGTATCCAAGTCGGGCCTCCTGAGGTTTCTTGGGGGGCCCTGGTACACACATCGCAAGGTGTGGCAACCCCACTTGCGCTCGAATGCGACCTCGATCTTAGATTCTTCTGCGTTCACCTCCTGCCTCCTCCCCTTCTCTTAGGCACGCCCTGGCGGCGCCGCCCCAGCTTCCCCGTCTCCATCTCCGATCCTGCAGTCATGGTGTCTTCCTGCTTCAAACGCCCTTTCAGTTTGTTGTATGAGCCTGGGCACACACGTGCCACTTGTATATATCTATATATATATATATACACATTCATAAGAAGTCCGAACAGCGGCATTCGCCATCCAAGATTAGAAATCCGATCCAAATATCCAGGCTCCCTTGATAAAAGAGTTATGCCGTTAAACCGCGTACTCCTCCTTAACCAGCTCCCCTCAGTCGCCGCCTGGTCCTTTTTAGAATTCAATAGTTTCGGGTGTGCCCCAAGTTGTTGTTTGCCACATGTCGCAGTGAAGTGAAGTGAATGGACTTCTCGCACCCGTTAGCTGACCGCCGATTCCGCAACCTGTGGCGCAAGCATTTGCAAGCCGGTCCACTATCGACGTCCGAGTGAGCATCTTAAGGCGCAGCCGCATGGGGCCGTTTTTTTCTTTCGATTGCCGAGTGCGCAGCTTAGGGCTCAATCAATCGCATGCCGCCTTGTTCTTGCAATGTACGGCGCAACCTCAAGCAGGCCAGCTTACCCTCGGTTGTTGAGTGCGCAACTTTTGGTTTAATCAATAGCGGACATTTTTATTTCCGGCGCCAGGTGCAACAATTTTTGCCGCAACGAGCGGAGGCCGTTTTGTTTTTCTTTCTCCGATTGCGCACATTTTGGCGCAAATTATAGCAGGCTATCTTGTCCTCGGCCGCCGAGTGCGCAACCTATGGCGCCCCCAGTGGCAGACCTGTCCGTCTGCGGCAGCAGTGCGCACAACTTCTGACACAACCCACGGATGGCGCGATGGCGCAACCGATGGATGGCGAGACCCTTGGCGCAACACGGGTTGCGCAACCCATTTATGGCGCAATTCATTGATGCGCAACCCATGGTGCCATCCACGGATCGCGCAGCCCACGCACGGCGCAACCCATGTTGCAACTTACGGATCGCGCAATCCATGGTTGGCGCAACCCATTCATGGTGCAATTCATGCCGCAAAGGCGCGACGCATTGATCGCGCAATCCATGGCAGATTTTCTGGCGCATTCCATGCTTCGCGCAGCCCATGGCGCAAGCCATGGATAGCGCAACACATGGTGCGACACATTGGTAGCACACACACCCTAGCAAGTTTGTACGAGGCACGCCCGATGCATGCTCGCCATTTGGGCTGGCGATGGGGCCCAAAAGGCGAGCTGCCTTATGATTAGCAGGCAGATTGAGGAGAGGCATTCGCGTTTTAAAGCCTGACGACCCCCTGAGGAAGCCAGCATAGTGTTCAGTGTGTGTGTGTGTGTTTGTGTTAGTTTGGGTCGACGTGGTTTGCCCGCGTCTCGATGAATGATGGCCGTTGGTCAACACGTGTGCGATGGTATATTGACGCATGCCGCGATCCCTTGAATCTTGTGCCCAACGAATCCCCAGTGAGCACCGTGTGTCCTCCGAGCATCGCGATCTGAGACGTCTGTCAGGAGCTCCGTCCTTCGAGGTGCAGGGCATGCGGTCCGACAGTATTTCGCTCGGTCTGGTGTCCCAAGCCATCAGTGGAAACGCGGTGGCCCAATTATGTCTGTCGTTTTTTTGCGGCGCGAGGGACCCTGTCAGAACGCTGCTAGGGCTGCCAGGAGCGCCTGAGGGTGCCTGCCAGGACGCTTCCCGGGCTGTCTGGGGCGCCCGATGGTATTTGTTGGCAGGACGCCTCTCAGGTTTGCCAGAGCGTCCGAAGGAGTTTGCAAAGGCGCTCTCCAGGTTGACTGGGGCGCCCGAAGGTGAGATGAGCAGGAACGCGGCCCAGCAGGCATGCCCCGGTCCCGTGCCGTGTTGGGGTCGTCGTGTTGGTTCTGTTTGTGTGACGATTGCTTTTTGTCATTCGAAATAAAAGAATATGTGTAAACACATGTTCTGAGTTCCGCGCGGATTTCTTGGATCGGCCATGCACCTCCTTTGGGGCACGGAGCGCGCCAGGGGCGGCGCCAGGGGCACCGCCAGGGGGCTCCCTCGCCGATCCAAGACATCCGCGCGGAGCTCCTAAAGTTTCTGTTGATGCAGTTGTTTCCTGACTCTGTCTCCGTCTTCCGCTTCCCCAGCGCAGGCGTTTTGGCCGCCCTTGCCCGTAGATGAGTTCAAACAACGTTGTTGCCATGCCGCAGGCAGGCGGCCGACGGCCAGCCCGCCGCCGAGGGCGAGGCCCGAGCCCCCCCCCCGCCCCTGGCAGCGACGCAGGGAATGGAGGGAGGGAGGGAGTGAGAGAGGGAGGGGGGGAGGGAGGGAGGGAGGGAGGGAGGGAGGAGGAGGAGGAGGAGGAGGAGGAGGAGGAGGAGGAGGAGGAGTCTAGAATGGGCAGCGAGCCTCAAGTGCCTTCAGCGTGCGCGCGTGCATGTAAGGAGAATGAAGAGGAGGGATGCAGGGAGGGAGCGAGGGAGGGAGGAGGAGGAGGAGGAGGAAGAAGAAGACGAAGAAGAAGAAGGGAAGGAGGAGGAGGAGGAGGAGGAGGAGGAGGAGGAGGAGGAGGAGGAGGAGGAGGAGGAGAGGGAGTGGGGGGCGGGAGGCGGGAGGAGGCAGGACGGAGGCAAGAGCTCGAGGCAGGAGGGGGGGAGGAGGGGAGGAGACCAGGCCTGTCGCGCCGCAGCCGCCATGGTGCATGCATGTTTGGGGATCCAGGCGCCGTTAGAGGGTCCTTGCCCCAGGGCCTGGTCTAAGTGAATGTTCCTCGGCCATCGCTGCAGGGTCTCGGCCTAGATATCAGTGTCGGCGGCAGGCACAGTAAGGCTCTGGCAATGGGGTCTTGGATGATGGAGCTTCTGGTCGCCGCAGTTGGACATCGATTGTCGCCGCCACATGGTCCAAGCATAAGCGATTTGTCACGATGCATTGCCACAGCGACATGTGGCGGGAACCGGCGCTGGCATGGTCTCCCGACGACGGGGTCTTTACCTGGATATTGAGATTTCTGCGGCAGAGTTTTGCAATTTCGGGTCGCCCTGTCGGATCCTGGCCATTGGGCCTGGGACTGCATATTAGGAGTTTTGGTCGTCGCCACCGGGCATTTGGGCATGTTCTGGAAATTTGCACTTCTTGCCAGAGCCCCGTGGGGTCTTGGTTTGAACTGTCGCTGGCCAAGTCGCCGCAATAGCGGCATATAACAGAGTTCTGGCAACTGGGGAAATTGGCAATCATGTCGTCGCCAGATGTTGGGTCTTGGGTTCTGGCCACCGCCACTGGGACTCAGCACGAGCTGCTTGCCCTAGTGTTTTGCCTGGGTTCGGACACGGGGTCCAATGAGTCGCCGCTTGTCGGGTGCTGATGAGATTTCCACTTGCCCCCACGGGATCTCCGCCACGAAATCCTCGCTCGAATGTGCGGGGTTCCTATTGTAATGTCATGGCCATTCAGCTTTGGCATGAGTGAGCGGCTTTCCTACTGTTCCACGCGTCGTTCTGCTGTTTCTTCCCCATGTCCTGAAAAATCACAGCGGGTCACCACGAGGAGTGGGGGACGATCGGCAGTAACACAAGCAGAAGGGGGAATCATGATTACCGTAACGTTCAAACCGATGGCACTCATATTGGAATCAAGCAGTTGCGAAGCTTTGCAAGCACGTCTCGTAATGATGAAATTTCACGCGAAGACACGTGCCCTCGACATCGTCGACATTCACAGCCTGCACTCCAAGGTTGATCCTAGGAGGCCCACAGCAAAAACCTTCGACGCCAGGAGACCCTGTGGACCGTTGCTTGGGAGAAGAATTGGATAACAGTCGGGGACGCCCTTAGGCATATTCTAGGAAACGGGATAGCGCCCGGGCGCTACACTGAAATCCTGACTGTCGCTGGTGGCCAGCGGGAAGCCACTGCTGTTAGTTAGGAAGAGTTAGAGCTACCCCACGCCTTGCATGACTGCTGAGAATCGTGTTGAAACCGCAGAGTTTGACGAGGAATATCGGCGATGTTGTTGGCACATGCTGTGCTCTTCATAGCCGTTTTGGCTGGAGCCCCTTGGGCCCCAAGACTCTCTTGCTACACCTCTCCCTTGATTCATTAGTCTTCATTAGTACGTGTTTTCGCAACAGCTAGGCGTACAATCTCCGCGGATGAGCATGCGATACCGAGTCCTCCCTCTTGCGTGGCTGCTGGAGCCAGCTTCTGCAGTACAAATGGCTTGGGGCGAGGTAGAAAGGTGGAGAGGGGGCGCCCGTCCTGGACTCGCCCTGGACTTGCAACCGACCCGAGCCTTGCCCGAGGAGGAGACAACCAGAATGCGAGCCGACCCACTTGCCATCCGTACGCAGGGCACGTTCTCGGCGTGCGGCGTGAGCTGGGACAATTATGAGCCCATCCGCTGGAACAGGACAGATGGGCTCACGCACTTCGCCGCGTGCGCCTCGGCGAGCGGCGACCCCAGCATTATCGGCGTCTGCCATACAGGCGGCGTCGGGCACGACAGCTGGCAAGACTGTGCGGACGTGCCCGCGGCGAGGTGCGACGGCTTGGTGGGCCCGGACCAGTCTCCTGCAAAGCTGCTCTTCGTGTCCTGCGATGGCGTGGACGACCCAAGGCTAGCGGTGCTCGGGTCGACGACTCCGAGTCCTGCTCCGTCCCCGGCGCCCACCACAGCTCCGAGCCGAGAGCCCAGGACCTTCGAGAGCAGCGCCAGCAGCGGACAAGAAGCGCTGGCTCTGGGGGAAGGGCCCCACGTGACCAACTTGAACGGCGACAGTTTCGACATCGGCACGCCGTCGTCCGACTACACCCTGCTCCGCGTGCCTTATGACGAAGAGGGCCCGGAGCTGCTGAGGCTGAGCGCCAGCATGGATGCCGACGGCGTGCGGGCCTGCAGCCTCTACGTCAAAGAGGTCTCCCTGAGCGGCTCGCTACTCGCCCACCAGACCGTGCGGGTCCGCCCCTCCGCGCACACCGCTGGAGGCTCCGACCAGGCAGGGAACAAGGCGAGGGCGAACTTCTCACTGCGGGTGGGGAGCTCAAGCTGGAGGGACCTCTGGCACGACGGCGTGGGCGCCGAGGTCCCCGAGGCGAGGGTCGGCCTCCTGACGGCCCGCCTCGTGTGGAGGAAGGGGCCCGGACAGCTCGAGGAAGCAACCACGGCATGAGCACACACTTTCGGAGGTCCGCGCTGATCTCTTGGACCGGCGCTGGGCCTCCCTGACGGCGCCGCTGGCGCCGCCCTTGGCGCGCTCCGAGCGCCGGGGAGGGTCCAGCGCCGATCCAAGAATGCCGCGCGGACGCCCGAAAGTTTGTGCGAGTCCTGTTTTTTTCTTCCTCGGACGGAGCGCCGAGGCGCAGAGCCTGGAGCTCCGGGTGGAGGTTTCAAGGGAGAAAAGCCACCCCGACCCCCAGAATTGGCGTTTACTGAGGCCCTTGGCGTTTATAACACATTCCTGCCCTGTACGATTAACTGAACGGCTTCGCTTGCCAGGGTGCTTATACTGAGGGTGGCTCTTCTGCCCTCTAAGGTGGGCAGGGACGAGCGCCCGGTGGTGCTCACCCTGTCGCAGGCCTCGCACCGGGCCCTGAACCTCGAGGTGGTGAGCTACACGTAAGAGTGACCCTTCGCCGGAGCGACCTTTGGTGCGCGACTCTTGGGAGGCGCGGGGGGGGCCCACCCAAGTGCACAGGCCGTCATTGTCGCACTGCGTGCAACGACCCCCGAGCCGCGCACCCAAAGGTTGCCTAGGGTCACTCTTGCGTGTGGCCGAGGTGGGCGGCCTCGGCATACTGGGGCGCCGGCGGGTCGCGGGCGCCCTCGGCACCGAGGGGCGCAACGCGTCGCTGGAGCAGCCTAGCCCAGGCTGCCTGCGGGAGGCGGCCGCCCACTCGGCCGCTCAGCGCAGGGGCTTGCCGGACGCGCCAGCCTCTTACGTGAGCGCGTCGTGGGAATGAGCGGCTCGCCAGGCGGCTGCGGCCTTCTGCGTCAGGATGCGATTCCTGGAAGCTTGCTTACAGAATCGGCGCTGGTACGTCTCTGGTCGACAGCTGGCCTACAGTCTGGCGTAATCCCGCTCGGCCCGGCTTAATCCCGCTCAGTCCGGCTCAGTCCCGTCTGATTTGGCTTCATCCCGGGCCTAAGCCAGCCAATTGCGGTTCAATATATTTTGAATCGGATTCAATAGTCCGTAATCTTTCTGACGAAGACCCATACCAGGACTTGCCTCCTAACCTGCGTGAGCGCGTCGATGACCCCGAAGGAGCCCAGCGGAAGCAGCCGAGCTCTCGGCTGCGCGCGTGCGGCGGCCGCAGGCGGCCGCATTGTGGGAGTGAGGTGGCCTCTCGTGGGTAGTTGCACTCCGTCCTCGCGTTAGGACCATTATAAAGTTGTCGAGTTATGTATCAGTTCTCAGCGACGCCTGCGGCGAGCCGCCGCCGCCTGTGGCCGAAAAGCCCCCTTAGTCTGGCCGCACACGTCGGATGTGTGTCCAGTGACGTCTAGTGGTTATTGCGTAATCCGGACGCTCTCCAGGACCATTGGGACCCATGTGGATTCACGAGGGCATCTTGAGATATTGAGTCTTTGGGGCTGCCGAGCATGGCCGTGGGTGCCATGGAGGCGTATTGGAGGCTGGTTGGGAATTCCAGGGCTGTCTTAGCGGCTGCTTGGAGGACATTCTTTGGTCATATATATATATATATATCCTTCCTGCAGGTTACGTGAAGGCCACTGCGGCCGATCGCAACCCGAGAGGACGAGGAAGGGCGAACTGCAAAATAGTTGCATGGGTGTCCAATGATTTTGAATTCGGGCGCAGGGCATTGTGTTTTCTGAAGACATCTTGGAGGGGGTTCGTGGGGCTGTCGGGACGTCCTCGGATGCCATGTTGGGGGCGCTTTGGTGGCACGCCGGAATTGGGGGCCATCTGAGAGCCTTCTTGGACCCCTTGGAAAAATGTTGGGGCGTTTCTTGAGCTACAGTGGGCCACATTGGGGCCATGCGAAAGCTTGTAAGTTACATCGCATCGGACGCTGGCAAGACCAGGAAAAAACATATTCCACAATGCTTCTCCCCACCCGACAGGTTTGGTTGGTTAGACTTGAAAAAGTCCCCGCCCCGCCCCGCACAGCCGACATACCGCGGCCGCCAGTTCCAAATTATGCCAGGGCTTCCCGGGTATCCCGCCTCGTGCCTTCGACGCGTGACGATTGTATACCACACCGGGGCTGATAGGCCAACGTGCGCTCGTGCTCCCTGGGCATGACGCAAAGGGCGGTGCGGGATCTTCGAGGTTGCGCCCATGGCCTCTCGTCCCCCAGGCTGAGCTGCTGCGGATGGATCTTGAGTTCATCCTTGGACCCGCTTTGGCCGTCCCTTGGATCATTGTGGGCTGTCTCGGTTCTATCTCGGAGCTTCTGCGGGCCGTCTGGATACGGTATTCGGACCTTTTGTGCAAAAAGAGGACGACTGTCGTTCCTCAGTGGCCTATTGAGGCCCTCGGGCCTCTCGAGGCCCTGCTGAGGAAATCATGGCCCCTCCCCGACGACCGCGTTCGCCCCGACGACCACGACCCTCCCCGACGACCGCGACCGCCCCCGACGACCAACGCCCCCGACGCCCTGCCCTGACCACGACCGCCCCCTCCCCCGTCCACGACGACGACCTCCTCCGTCCGCCCCCTCGTTCCTGCTTGCTCTGCGCTGCCTCTGCCGCTCCCCTCCCTCCTCCTGTCCTGTTCGGCGTTCGTTCGCAATGCTTTTTCTTCTTGCCCCTCCTCCTCCTCCTCCTCCTCCTGCGCCTCCCTACGCAAAGAGGAAGCAGACGGCAGCCGCAGTTGCGCTGGAACCTGCCTCCCTCTCGTGACAGAGCAGCCTGGTGTTTTGCCAATTCAGGTTAGGAATGCGTGAGCATTCCTTTTGTAGTTTGCATGGCCCCTCTGGGCCGTCTGGTGGCGCGCACATGACAATCCAGGGGGGATAGGTTACGGCCGAGGTCAAGCTTCTACCCGTGCTCACAGTATTGATGCGTGGGCTCTCCAGTGGATAGCAGAAGTCTTCATGACCAAGGAGGCGGGAAGCAGGACAAGACGAAGACGAGAAGAGACCAGCAAGATAGCAATCCAACGGCGACTTCGCAGCCTGATGCCCCATGAAGGGGCCAGCGGGCTTTGCGTTGTGCAAATGGGCCTCCTCATGCCTCAGTTCGCTGGCAGTTGCCAGCAACGGCGTCCGTTTCGATGCCGGCCAGGCCAGGACCCTCAACTGATTATTGAGCAGCGTCCGGTTCGACGTCCGCCAACATGTCATCATATCCCGTGTCCTCTTTCTCCTTCCCCGGCAGTTCCCCTTTCTTCCGCCCTCAACATAGGCACCTCTTCCTTTATCATCATCCTTCTCCTCCTCTACCCTCCATCTCATCTTATCTCATCGTTCTCTTCTTTCCCCCATCCTTCCGCAGTCTCCTCCTCATCGTTCCCATTCCTATGTGTCCCTCCTTCCCTTCGTCCGCGCCCATAGCATACACAGACAGCCACGTGGTTCATCATCTCGTGGATCCGCTAGCTGGGGCCAAACCAGGCGGCTGGCTCATGGCATAGACGGTGTACGGGGAGTCGCTAGCAGACATTCGGCTGCGGCAGAGGACGTCGAGGAGAAGGAGTTCGTGAGAACGCAAGCAGGTGCGGCGCTGGGCGGCGAGGCGCTGTGCTCTCCTTGCTTGGCGTCAGTGGAGGGAGCTCGTTGACTGGAAGGGCGCGCTGGGGCCCCCCCACGGAACTGAAGTTCAGCTGCGCCTCTAGCCGATCCATCCTGTCATCGGGGCGCTCGCCAAGAGCAGGGAGCCGCGTGGAGTGGACGCGCTGCTCAGGAACGTGGCCAGCCGCGATCGGGGAATACTTCGGGAGGGCGCTGCGGTGGCGGGGTGGGGGGGCGCGCACAGAAGAGCGGGCTCTGGGCCGACGCGGGCGGATGCCCCCCCCACGGAGCGGCGCAGTCCGCCCTCGCACACTCCCGCTGCTGGCTGGCTCTTATGCACCCCGACTGCATGCAGCGGTGGCCGCGCACTGGCAGGAAGGCTGCCGGTGGGGTCGCCTCCAGAACATGGCGAGGGCAAGGGGGCTCGGGTCCGTTTCGGCGAGCAGTGTCCCTGGGGAGCCGAGGTGCCAAGGCGACGGCGAGGCGGAGCTGGCCGACGAGGCGGAGGACGACGGGGACAAGCTGCAGGGCACGGGCGGCAGTGCGCAAGCGGAGGGGTAGGAGGTCCTGCAGGAGCCGTCTGCGGAGGCTCCCTTGCAGGGGCCCGCCGCAGGGGAGCATGGCGATGGCGCTGCACGTCGGCTGCTTCTCGAACCAGGACCCCCTGGCCCTGACGAGGCACAGGGCGGGCGTGAGGAGGGCATTCGGGGCCTACTCGTGGGCCAGCGAGGCAGACAGGGACGATGAGCTTCATGGCGCCTGGACGGACTGCAAGCTCACTGTCGCCAAGTTGGACGGGCTGCCTATGCGTCTAGAGTATCTTGACGATGTGAAAGAGACCGTGAGGCAAGCTGCTACCACCCTGGCGGGGTTTATTGGGCGGATGGGGCGGCCGCGCCTCCTGGCCAGGGGGCAGTACGGAATCCTCTGCGCAAAGGACCCCGTTCAGGTTGCTCACGATGATACTTCGAGCCGCGGGGGGCAGCTCGGCGCCTCCAGATTCTTCTTGGGCGATGACTTTGACGCGGTGCTGGTCGGCTTCGTCGGCTGCGATGTCGTCAGAAGGGCTCTCGGTCGTCGTCGTGAGTTTGGGCGGGGGCAAGGTCAAGAGGTCCCACGGCGCCCCAAGTGCCTTTTCGTTGCGATGTTCGTCGTGGGGGCGAGCTGGCCGCGCGTTTGGCCCCGATCCGCGCGCACAGCTTTGATGTCTCCTCGTCTTCCTCCTCTCCGTTCTCCTCCGGTTCCCCCTTTCCCCTTCTCTCCCTCGTATTCCTCTGGCATTTGCTCACGTTCCTCTTCTTATTTCGCGTTCCCTTCCCCATCATCCTGGCATGGTTCGAAATCTGAAGTCTTGAATGTCTGACTGTTTTACCGTTGCGCTGTCATGCAGGGCATCGAATGACTCTATTCAAGTCTCCTTGGGCTCACATCCTATCCCCAATTGCAGAAAGAGCGCCGCAGAAATCCAAAGCGCTCCAAGCCTTCCCCAAACGCCCGAAACCTCGATGGTCGATTGCCAATGACGGCGGCGACCCATACATCCAACGCTACGATGTGTGTCAGTGAACGGGTTCCAGGGGTTTCGGCCGCATCCCTGGGGACAGTTTTCCTTCCGGGACACGTCTTCGATTACACCAGGACCCAGAAGACAGCCTCAGGAAGCCGAAGTGGGACAACACAAAAGCTATATTACCACCCTCCTGAGAAAACACATGATGGCAGTAGGCGTGGGCCCATGTGGTTCAGATCGCTGCAAGGTCGCATTGAGGCCGTGTGGTCCGTGGCCCTCATGCCACCCTTCCGATGTTGGCGGGGGCGACCGCCACCTGGGCCAACTTTGGTTGGGGGCTGGGGGGGCGGGGTGGGCAGGGCCGAATCTTCCCATAAAGTTCTGTTCGGTACGGTGGGCCTTCGTTCAGGAATTTGCGCAGGAGGCTTCAGACCCTGGACCCTGGGGGATTCCGGATCTGATGAGGGTGACGGTGCTGTCCATGGCCGAACATCAATTGGTGGTCCGCGGGTTTCCAGCCCGCGGCGCGTCGGCGCGCCTGGCGAGGACGGCTGCCGCAGCGGCCGAGAGTGCGTAGCGCAGAATTGCATTTAATTCACCTCACCACGGGCATTTTGCCCTTGCAGAGAGAAAGAAGAAATGCTCAGCCGTAGCTTTGCAGAAGAGCCCGCGCGCCCAAAGTCTAGGGACGACGAGGGCAGCCTTGCTTTAGCAGCCCGCTTTGGCGGCGCGCTGTGGACCCGACTCGGCCGCACCCCCTGGGGGCCGCCTTCCCTCCCAGACGCGTTTTCGATGTATGCCCGGATCCCGAAGACAGCCCCCCGACGTCGAAGCGGGGCAGAGAAGACACAATTTTAGCAGAGCCCGTGCGGCCGAAGTTTGGGTACGACGAGGGCCGCCTGGCTTTGGCAGTGGCGGCGCGCTGTGGCGCGAACTCGGCCGCCCAACCGCCCTGCCGCAAGCGCCAGGCCCCCGAGGCGGCGACGCTGCCGCCCGCCGAGGAGCCGGGAGCGCCTGTGCGGCGAGGGGGGAGGCCGCCGAAGAGTTCGGCAAAGGCACCAGATGCTCTCTTTCTCTCTTTCTCTCTCTTGTTGTGTCTCTCGGTCTCGTTGGGTCTCTCTCTTTCTCTCTCTCTATCCCTCTCTGTGTCTCTCACTTCTCGTTCTCGTTCCATCACTCCCTCACTCTCTCTCTCTCTCTCGTGCTGGTTGTGACGTCTCTCTCTGTCTCTCTTTCTCTCTCTCTCTCGCGCTCTCGATTGCTACGTCTTTCTCTCTCTCTCTCTCGCGCTCTCGATTGTCATGTCTTTCTCTCTCTCTCTCTCTGTCTCTCCCTTTTTTACGGGCGCTTGGCAACTTTAGGCTAGGGGCGGTGCGGATACTTCGCTGGCAGTTTCAAGCGAGGGGTGTGAGAATATTTCGGTGGAAGTTTTAAGCCACGGGTTGAGAATAGTTCGGTGAAAGTTTTAAGCCAAGCGATGCTGATATTTCGCTGGCAGTTTTGAGCGAAGGGTGTGAGGATATGCCGCTGGCAGTTTTAAGATTGGTGGTTGAGGATAATTGGCTGGCAGTTTAGGCCAGGGGGTGAGGATATTTCGCTGGCAGATTAGTTCGAGGGGTGTCCGGATATTTCGCTGGCAGATTTAGGCCAGGGGGTGAGGATACTTGAGCAGGCCGACAGATGTTCCTCTTGAGGCCCACATGACAAATGCGAAGTGTCGTTGGCTTTAGCGGATGCGGACGCAGCGATCATATCGCGCTCGCGTCGAGGGGGGGTGCGGCATATGTTATGGGAGGCTGCGGGAGTTGGCCAGGCCCGCTGTGGCGCTCGAGCACCCACATGTTATGGAGGCTGCGGGAGTTGGCCGGGGCAGCTGTGGCGCTCGAGCAATGACATGTTATGGGAGGGGTTCGGAGAGGTGGCCAGGCCCGCTGTGGCGCTCGAGCTCCCGACTTGGGCACCGCGGTCGTTTTCCCTCCTCCCTCCTCCCTCATCCGCCTCTTCCGTCCTCCCTCCTCGTCCTCCTCCCTCCTCGTCCGCGTCCCTCTTTATTCCTCTTCCTCCTCCTCCTCCTCGTCCATCCTACCTCTTCCTCCTCCCGCCCTCCTTATGCCTCCCTCCCCCTCACTCGTCCTCCTCCTCCTCTTCCCTCCGCCCTCCTCCTCTCCCGCCTCCCTTACACGTCTCTCCTCCCTCTTCTTCCTCCCTCCTCCGCTCTCCTCCTCCCCTCATCCTGACTCTTCGTTTGCCCTCCTCCTCTTTCTCGTCTCTTCTCTTCTTCCTCGTCGTCGTCCTCTCCCTCCTCTCCGTCCTTCCTCCCTCATCTTCCTCTTCGCCCGCCCCTGGTTTGTGTTTCCCTACTCGTCCCCATATGTTGTGTCTCTCGGTCGGGAAACCCCTCCCCCGTAGAATCATAGCTTGGGCTGCAGGTCCAAGGCTTCGTGGATCCAGTTCCCCTGGGGTCCCTTGTATGCATTATCATTATAAATTTACTCCAGCAGAAGAATTGAATCCACGAAGCTTCCGCGCCAAAAATTGGATCCAGAAGACACGGAAATTGGATCCACGTGACTCTCGCACACAGGTAGTTGGATCCAAATGGATCCATGCGTTCCCATGCAAGCGGAAACAATTTTCGGCTTGGGGATGTATTTTGCTGGCAGTTTTAAGAAGTCATGGGGGTGTGAGGATGTTTCGCTGGCAGTTTCAAGCGAGGGGTGTGAGGATATCTCGCTGGCAGTTTCAAGCGAGGGGAGTGAGGATATTTCGCTGGCAGTTTTGGGCCAGGGGTCAGAAAATCTCGCTGAGGGGTGTGAGGATATTTCGCTGGCAGTGTTAAGCCAGGGCGCTGAGGAAATTTCGCTGGCAGTTTCAAGCCAGGGGGTTGAGGATATTTCGCTGGCAGGTTTGAGTCCGGGGGTGAGGGTATTTAGCTGGCAGTTATAAGCCCAGGGCGGTGAGGATATTTCGCTGGCAGTTTCAAGCGAGGGGTGTGAGGATATTTCGCTGGCAGTTTTAGGCGGGGTGTGTGTGGGTGTGTCGCTGGCAGTTGTAAGGCCGGGCGGTGAGAGGACCAGGACGGACGAAGGATGAGGACGAGG